TGTCTAAGCGCATGCCACGCGCAGCCCTACTTTTCGCTGGCTTCTGAGCAGTATCTGGCTATAATCCTGTTTTTCTCAGGGGCTTGTTATAGATAAGAGCTTCGTACAGCAAAATCCAGCTTGCCACTCCTGTCAAAATCCCTCTCCCCTCACCACTGGGGCCTCGATTATATGACATTAGCCGTATCGGAGATGCGACTACTTTATTTACCCTGTTACTGGTGATGCTTGATTGCATTTTGGCTTCAAATTTCGGCATTCGCAATTATAGTTGAGAAGGTTAGCTCCTGTCTGCCAGAAACTATAAGCACTACTGTCTTTTCGTGAGCTAATTCTTGTGGCCAAAAGCCCTTCAGGTCCTCAGCGTATCCTATCAGGTGAACTCCCGGCAGCATCTGGAACCGAAGAACCTCGATCGTTTGAAGACTTTCCAGAGAAGCGGCCCTAGGTCGGAGCCCTGCGGTCACCCATGGTTACGTGCTAGTCTTTCGACCTACCATAAGTGCCCTCTCATTGAAGTAGCTCTTTGGCATGATTGATAGATAGCTAGGACTTCTCGAGAGGCCCGACGATTTTTTGCTGTTGGCCTACCTTCTATTAGTCGTTCTATACTCTAGGCGCTGAAGAAAGAAACTAAACCCAAACAAATACACGCATATTGCTCGTGAGTGAGTGTTTAGGCGCAGGAGACATTACAGGACCGCATCAAGATATTATGGGTAGTCATCAAAAATTTCATACAAGATAATTATTATCTTTTACAGTAAATTTCAGTTAGAGATTCACAAATGAGTTAACTACACTTTTTAGTTATTAGTAAGTAAGCTGCGCGCACTCATTCAGAAGAGGAACTTGAATCTTCTGAATCGTTTAAATGAATTATTAGAGGTTCAATTTGGATATCGATGACATTGTCCAAATCCCACATTTTGACCTCAACCTTCTCCCGAACGTGGCGGATACAGCTTTTCCATTCCTCTGCCGTAACTCTATTGACTGCGATGTGAAAGAGATTTTTAACATCAGAAAATTTATAAGTATTATTATTCGACGCCACGTATTGCTTTATGTTGGCCCAAATCAGCTCAATAGGGTTCAGCTCACAATGGTAGGGTGGCAGTCTCAAGACAGTTTTATTTTGTTTTTTGGCCATTTCGTCGATCATTTTAAAATCGTATTTGTATTTATGTCTATTGACTATACTTATCAATTCACCCTTGACCATTGTTTCATCAAAATCGATCTGTTTTGAGGCCAGCCATTGTTGTATGTTTGCTTTTTTAGTTGCCATTGTGGGAATTTTTTCTATTTTTCTAGAATGGTACGGGGCATTATCCAGTACAATAACAGCGTTATTCTCCAGCTTTAGTAATATTTTGGAGAACCAATTTTCAAAGGAATTGCCGTCCATCTCCTCATGATAGTCCCCTGTCTTTTTTGATTCAAAGGCCCACAGTGCTTCGGGAACAAAGCCGTCTTCACTACCTACGTGACAAATGATCAGCCGTTTGCCTTTTCCTGGAAATAAATTATTCCTTACACTATGGATTGATTAAATTTGAAGGAATGAGGCAATTGAGTTCATTTAGCTGAATTTAAGAGTCACGGAATGCTGATCAAAAACTGAAAAACGTAGAAAATTGAAGTTTGCAACTTCTCGAAACCCATTCAAAGCAAATTGACTGCACCCAAAAATGATAATAAATTTCAAAATAACGCTTAAAAGAGGGTCGAAGTTTTTTCCTAATGACTACACTGCGAATGCACCATTTTTGGAGAATATCACACATTATCTGCTATCACAGCATATTATTTGCCCGAATTTATCAAAATTAAATTGCCGGATAGATGAAGGAGCTTACCTGCAGGATTTTTCAATCCAGCCGAAAGACCGTCTAGAAAAGCCCGCCTTGATGATGTTACTGATTTGTCGACCCAAACTTTCGCTTGAGTATGTCCAGCATTCACCCCCTTCCTAAGGTATTCCCTTCTCCACACAACAATTTCTTCTTTCTCTATTAACATACTGTTTCTTCCCCGTTTCAAGAATCGAAAATTAAGTTCCTTCAAAAGTTTTCGGAATGTGGTTCTTTTAAATGATGGAAGATCCTCATCAGCATTAACTAATCTTAATATCTTATATACTGTAGGTATCTCATTTCGGAAGAAAAAATTATGCACTTTCCTCCTGATGGCAGTTCTGTCAAAGTCATCTACTCCGTCCGTTATCCTTTTTCTTGCAGGATACGGTTTTGGCTCAGAAAGTGAGTGAGTGCTCCTATATTCCTTAATGATCCTATAAACACTGGACCGACATACTCCAGAAATATGTGCTACCTTACATAATAACTTCGTCCACGACCAAATCGGGTTTTTCTTGAATTTGGTTTTTGTATATATTTAATATTATTTGTTTTTCATTTGCACTTAAATGTAGCTTCTTAGCCCTTGTTTTGGGTGGGGTTGCGCTGATGTCAACCACTTCGTCGGCTGTATCTGTGTCAGACATCGTATCTTAGGCAATATATAAACAAAACGTTCCACTCGCGAAAAACGAGTATACGCTACTGAATGCGTAATGCGTATGCAATGCAATCCTGTGCGTGAATTAACTGTTAGATGCCTGTCGTGTCATCTACAATCACGTTTACAAGTCCAAACCTGTGCAGATTCGTAGAGCGCCGACGACTGCTAGTGACCTTGAATTTGTCTGTAGATCGATGTTACTCCAGTCAATTTAGGTTCAAAGTGGATGTTTTCTAAACCAAATTTGTTGTTCCTACATCAAAAATATATCGATGATGTTTTGTACTGGGAGCTCATGAAAGATCAAGGTAACTTATTTTAACAGTCATCCTTTTTCTAGTCTCAAGATGACACGAAAAAGGGTCTGTGGATTCACTAGAAATACACTGCCGAGGATGTTTAGACCTAAAGTGACTGGAGTATATCCGTGGATGCTTTCGAGGGATCTGTTCACGTGCTGATCACTGTTTACGTTTAATGTCTTTCTTCAGCGCCCAGAGTTTAGTAGCTTTCCCAAGTGAACTCGGCATAACAGATGTCTAAATTTGACTTACCCATCGGTTGAGGACTCAGAAGCGGGATGAGTATCAAGGCGCCTTTTCGGAAACACTCCCGCTCTCTGCTGTCTGTGATGAATGAATCCTCACAGACAGCATGATTTCGGATATTTCTTTACCAGCACCTTCACGATCTCGTTTGGTACTTCGTCGAGTCCTGGTGCCTTACCTGTTTTCGTTGCAGCTTTTTCCAGCTCACTCATGGTTCATTATGGTTCCCATTCGGTGTCCAAAAATAATTTAGTATGCGTCACTCCACTAAAATATGAACCATCCGGTTCGAAGGACCAACGTTGCGACCATTGTTGGTCCTGTTGGTCGTACACCCATTTTCAAGGTCGCGTAATTGCAGGTGTCTGGATGGTGGACGTCGAGCCTATGCGTACTGCATCGGCAGGCGGCCGGTCACGTGACATTAACATTAACATTGAACCTTGACCCGGCATCGAACATGCTCGTGGTGGTGTTTGGGGGTCGCGATATGCCGTCGACGCTGAGCGCCCCGACGCACCGCGGCCAGTCTATCTGTTGCTCCCGGAGTGGAAAGAGGGGAGAATACGTCGGATAGCTCCGGAGTTCGCGGGTGTTGCGAGAAGTTTTTTTAAGGTGCGAAATTACAAACGCGGTGCGTCGGTGATGGGATAGACGAGCGTTCCGGACAAAGGTGTAGTTTTTAGTGTGACTTTTGTGAATTTGTTGGATGTTTGGAGGAGAATATGAGTTTGGATTTATTTGGAGGATGCATCGAAGGATAATAAAATGGTTAGTTTCTTAAAAGTATTCTAAATACCGGATATATCAGCCGAAGACGCTTGGCGGTTCCCGGTATTTGGTGAATTACTCGTGTAATGTAGATTTATCACTGAATCGGTCATTTTTAAAACCTCTTAAGTCAGGCAACTTGAATTTTTCGGTAGATAATAAAAACAGTGTCAATGATAAGTAATCCAGTTATAACGTGCTTTTTTGGACTTAATAAAGTATTTGTATTAATGTATTGAAATACGAAAACAAGGCTGAAAAACCGTTCTGCACTTACGTTTTTTCAACTGAGTATAGGGCTGGTGGAATGGGCATCTAGAAGGGGCTGCCAGAGGGGGCGTGGCCCCACCTTCTTGAGAATCCAGTTGGGCCTTAAAACTTGCAAATTCAGCATGATTTTTTCTATTATTTCCAACGACGATCAAAAATAACGCCGATAAAAATGTTTCAAGATTAAGATTTGCCCTACCTGGAAAAATTTGGAACCACCCACTCTTAAAAAAGTTTTTGGGGCAGGTAGACTTTCATTGACATTTATCTCTTGTCGATGATAGACCCCCCACCGAAAAATACATAAGTAGTTGAACAAAAGAATGCAAGGATCCTGATACTGTATTTGAAATTACCCATTCAAGTATCTGCCATCAAGTCTCGGACCCAGACTTATGGTTTTCTTAAATTTGTCGGGTCATCAAGAACTGGAATCCCAGAATGGACCCATTGACCGTAATAATAGCCGACATTTCAAAGAATAAACCAAATGTCAAGAATGCTTGATTACTTCGTTAACAGAGATAACCAGATGAAGTTGACATTTTTTTAATCTTTTGAAAAAAGTACCTTTACAGGAATCACCTAATATATCCCTGTACTTTTCTGCAAAGACAAAATTGCAAGTTTAGCACTTGTACCAGCAGGGCTGCGATCGTGAGTTATTTCAGAGGGTCCTTTGTACTACTTTGTAACAATTTCAGCGTTTATAATTGTTTGACATACTGAGTGACGGCTCGTGGCAAAAAAAAACAAGTGTTCTGCAAATCTGAACTACCTATTTTTTATATGTCAGTTCGATCCTGCGCTCCTTCTTGGCAGCAAATTTGTCGATCACCTTCCCGTTGAAATTTTCCATGGTCGAAATAAATTCCTTTTCAATGGACAGCATCGACAACGCTGTAAGGCGATCCTGGGTCATAGTATTTCGAAGAGAAGTCTTGATTCTTTTCAATGTTGAGAAATTTCGCTCAGACTCTGATGTTGACATAGGAGTTGTAACAATAATTTCTAATAGCTTTTTTGTTTCTTTTAGTGTTTCCTACAAACTGTTTTGTATCAAAAATTTCAAAAGAGACAGAGTTCCATGTAAATCTCGGTAATCATTCCGTGCATAAATAACAGACAACTCTGTCTTTAAACGACTTTTTTCTAATTCGGGATAAGCCAAGCAGGTAGTTTCTAACTTGTCATCAGGAAACGTACCATAGTATTCTCCAAAGTGTTCGGGGAAAAAAAGGGATGCGGCTACCAAATGATCTTTGAATTGAAATCTGTCATTTGCAGAATTCACTATATAGTCGCATACTTCTAACGCGGCAACTCGGTGATCCTGACTGCTATTATTACGTCGTCTCCTTTTGTTGCCTTGGGGTTCAGTGCAAATTATCGATAGCCGTTTTAACTTGCGCTGGCTCGGTTTTTCTCTTCTGCAACTGGTTGAATAAGATGTCGACGTGAGGCATGACATGATGAAAAATGTCGACCAAAACACGAAAACAGAATCGTTTAACATACGGCCAATACCGCAGGCTGCCTTGCAAACGGCTTCATTAGTGAAATTTTCTTCTATTTCTTCCATGCATTCAATGAGTGATTCTCTGTTCCCAAACACTACATTTATTGTTCGGATATTAAAATTCCAACGAGTTGTTGCTCCTTGGGGAATGTTTCCCCTCAATTCTGTTCAGTACCTCTACGCGTTGAGGAGAATTATCAAAAAATCCCGGAATATCTTTCAAATCCCCAAAGAACACGAACTTGAGCATTTGCTGAAGCAGCTTGGGACATAATCAGGTTTAACTGATGCTCATAGCAATGCACATAGTGAGCAAATGGATATCTCTGTTTAATTTTTGCCTGTACTCCAGCATTATGTCCGCTCATTACCGCGGCTCCATCATAGCTTTGTGTATTTCCAGAATCGTTTCACGCTGATAAGTCTGTAAACCACATCCATTGTCTTGCTCTACCCTTCTACACAGCCACAGTCAGTCAGTGAGTCACTAGTCAATCAACGTAAGACCCAAAATACCTAAATAAAAAATACCGCCGAGGACCGAGCACCGACCGACCAATCAGATATCGTACTTCGCATTAGATCTGTACGTGTACGGATTGTTTCTTCTTCTTGTAGGTATTGTTTCTATTTGTGTGATAACATGGAAAATAAATAATGATCAAATTACTACTGCTTTTTTCTGCAGAACTTAAGGGCCAGCCGCCCCTGGACATACTAAAGTATACAGTATTGCATTACCAAGTGATTTACAAGCGCACCTCAGTCCGTACGTTGCCCTTTTCAAACCCATGAGTGACCAAAACTCAGGTCTCCACTCAGTTCTAGTTGACCAGCTGATGAACATTCGAGCAAAAAATATAACTTTAGATTTCACGAAATCGAGTCAATGTGCCTTAGGTACCTAATTGCCCCAAACCTTTCAAATAAAATACACTTGTGTGATAAATGTCTATGAATCCTACCATCGCTCTGTCTTCCGCTTTTTTTTCAGTGACACTGATTAAACATCGCCTTCCGAGTGTCCACTTTTTCTTCAGAAACAATGAACTGTCTCCTTGTGAGCGTCTGGAAAAAAACGCCATCATTCATTTCGAGCTAAAGTGTACAGACTCAAGGTAGTCGAATCACTTTGCAATCACACCAAGGGGCCGTTCAAGCACTATGGGGGGGGGGGGGGCGGTGGTTCTTTGCTTTGCTTATTTTGGATGACATGGGGGTTAGGGGAGTCTAGATGATGATTACGTCATCGATAGTTATTTACTTTTTTACACGAATGGCAACCCTCACATTGTCTTTGCTTGAAAACGAAACGCATTTTCGGGGATTCCCGCAAATAATGCATATACGTTTAGTGAACAGCGCGCGGTAATTCCCCTACTCGGTTCTAAAGCGAATTAGTCTAACCTTAGTAAAGGTCGTTTGCTACGTTTTGAAGGATAATGCTTCAGCATGATTCTTTTTAAGTCACCTTATTTTTGTTAGGTTTTGAATGAGTTCTGCATTTATAAAAATACTATGGGCTATTTTCTTTTATGTTAAACCATTTATTATTGTTATTTTCGTGATCTCCCACTCTTAATAGATGGCGCTAGTATCTTTCGGATCTCTTTTTAGACACAGAAATACAGTATATGATTGGCTATCTTCAAGTATACTAAGTGACATATAAATCCGAACACCCAGTTTAAATGGTCTTATTTAAATAAAAGTTAGTGAATGTATTTATCTTACTGTAAATAACAAGTGAAAAAATTTTCAGCCTTATCAGTTGGACATTCCGGTTTTTATACTGCTTTTTTTTAATTCACTAACGCTCTAAAAATGAATATTTCAGCCGCAGAAAAGAATCAACGTTGGCGGATTTTGGTTCTTGACATCCTTTACGATCGGTTACGATGCCTAGAGTACGGAGACCTGTACGATTTCGTCAACTTAGTGAGTTTGATAGGGGCCGTATAGTGGGACTTCGGGAAGCTGGACTTTCTTTTCGGGCAATTGCAGTTAGAGTGCAAAGAAGTGTAGACACTGTGGTTAGGTGTTGTCAGGCATGGCTTCGAGAAGGCCGTACGCAAAGAGCAAGGGGCACTGGACGCCGCCGTAGAACAACAGACCGTGAAGATCGCCGCCTAAGATTATTGGCCTTAAGGGACCGTTTCTCCACTACCAGGTCCATTGCAAATGAATGGTTTGCAGAACACGGAAGACCTATTGGCATACGAAGTGTTTACCGACGAATGAGAAGTTTTGGCTTGTTTTCATACCGGCCACACTGGGTCCTCCCTTTAACTCGAGAACACCGACGTAATCGCCTTGAGTGGTGCAGACAACGGTCACTTTGGGATCAGGAATAGAACAGTATTGTCTTTAGTGACGAGTCTCGATTTTGTTTAGTCATGCACGATGGTCGGGCCAGGGTTAGAAGGCGACGTGGTGAAAGGAGGAATCCACAGTTTTTTGTTGAAAGACATGTTCATCACACTGTTGGAGTTATGGTTTGGGGTGCTATAGCTTATGGTTCCAGGTCACCTTTAATCTTCATCAGAGGTAACATGAACGCGCAGCGTTATATCCACGAAGTTCTAGAACCCCATCTTTTACCCTATCTTGACACCCTGGCAGATCCAACTTTCCAACAAGATAATGCCCGACCACATGTTGCAAGAGTCACAATAGACTTCTTTCAACATAACGATGTCACATTGTTACCATGGTTACCAAGATCTCCCGACTTATCCCCAATTGAGCACGTGTGGGATATGATGGGTAGGAGATTGCTCAATTTGCAACGTCCTCCTCAGACTCTAGAAGCACTTCGAGAGGAGTTGGTGGTTGCCTGGAATGAGATACCACAGGAGGACATTGACCACCTGATCAGAAGCATGCCTAGGCGCGTTGGAGAATGCGTAGCACATCAGGGTGCATCCACACATTATTAAAGGTCAAAGGGCTTTAAAGCATTAAAATAAAACCATTTAAACTGGGTGTTCGGATTTATATGTCACTTAGTATATTTTGGAATCGCAACTGTCAGAGGTTTTTGCGCGTGGTGATCTTACTTCTTGTAGTCCGTATACTATGTTTTGTCCCGGCGTCCAAGAAGCGACATCATTTGTTTTGTTCCACGCCGAGCTCCAAGGAAGAGACAACGTCGTCTTTTTTCGAACAAAATCGCGCTGAATTGGGACGCTCGTGGTGGAAAAATCTGTCAAACTAGTGTTTCGTAGTCGAGATAGAGGACTGTTTTTTTGTTGTAAAATGATTCAGTTGTTTTTAGTGATTTAGCTCAAATACAGTTTGCATTCACTCTTGTAGAAACAGTAACTTACACAGTCAAAAAGTGTTGGCACACCCCATTTTTTTCTTGAATCGTACTAACGAAAAGATGCAGTTTTTTGGTACTTCAAATACATTATTATTATTACTATCATTATAATTGTCAATTGTCAATAATATTATAGAAAATAGAGGGAGATGTTTTAGAGGGTGATTCACTGTTAATACATATGAAATAAGTTTATATAAACATGGGTCCGGAAGTTTCGAGATACGTTCAAAGAGAAAAAAAAATTTTTTTATTAATATTTTGAAAAATATATATTCGATACTGTTGAAATTTGGCAATATCATTTGTTGTATTCAGAGGTTAATTTAGCCCTGAATATATTAAAATTATTAGGTCCAATGGCGTCCCGGGAGCACCTTAGAGAATATTATTGGTGAAAAATGTACGCCACTGCATTTTTTGTAACTCTAATATTTGTCGTTTGGTTAGGCATCTAAAACTTCTTTGCCTCTCGTATTTTTTTCGTATCTCACTTCGTTTTCGAGAAAAAAACAACAGCCTTTTTATTGCATATCACTGGACCAAACTGGCGTATTAATTTTTGCTAAAAAAAAAAATAGAAATGCCTTGGAAAACAAAAAATCATTTCTGCATGGAGGTTTGGCATTTGCGCGTCGGTTCTTCCACAAAAGAATTATTCACGTAATTTGCATTGCGAAATTTCTTAAAAAAAAATAAATTAAATTCATTACCCTGTATCTTCAACACTCTGCATTTTCGTGTCCATGTTTGATGAAATTTTTTTTCATATTTTTCAACAAGGAAACACATTAAGCGATAAACAGAAATCTAAACGTTTCGACTCGGCCAAACAATGGAGAAGATTATACTATTTTTTATGAATAATCTGACGAATAACCCTTATAAAACTAAACCTACAAATTTTACTGTCGCGTGCTTGTGCAGATTAATCCGATTAGGCAGATTTGAACGTTCCTTGGAAATAAACGTCACGAAACTGAAAAACTGCGCAACAAACAAAGAATCGTTAGATTAAGAAGTAAGTGGAAAATGGTATAATGATACAAACTCACATTCACCTTCAAGTGGAGAAAGGTCAGGGACAACAGATGGATATCAGTTATCAATAGCTATAATGCATCGTTTGCCAAATTGAAATGGCGGACAGGGGAGGTCTTTTGCTATCACCCCAGGTCCCTCAAACAATTTTTAGACCAACGGCATTAATTCACTGATCAACAGCCAAAAAATATCCTAAATAAAATCAACAAAATATTACTATTTTTAATGTGCTAAAACCGGAATGAAACTTATTTTTTCAATATTAGTTCAATTTTAGAGATACGGTAATTATATGTGTTCCTGCTGTGACAGTGTTAATATACTGTAATTCGCAAGAATGCACGTGCTACGTTTTTATATTCGGCAAGGAAAGATGATGTAATCGGCATGATTGTGTTACGTTATACATACATACGTGTACCTTATATTGTTTTATATTAGCTATTTTTTCCTCAGTTGGCTGACAGCGTTCATGCAATATGTCTCGAAAGTGTGTAAACAATCCAGATCAGTTTTGTTACAAACCACAGGTATGTCCAAGGTGTCCAAAAAAAAAATCGGTTATTAACTACCCAAACATACCATCTGCGATGAGACCTGTGCCTCACAGTGACGAAAATCCTATTCCAAAGCCCCCAGAATCCTACACTTGCGAATCAGAAAACGAATCAGATCATGGCGATCGAGTGATTCGTCAGGAGGAAGATATGCCATCAACGTCAAGAGATCCTGATTTTATACCGAGCACGTCATGCCACCAACCGCACAAAATAACACAGTCAGAATTAAATGATCTTGTAAGAGATTTAGAACTTCCAAAATGTAAGGCAGAGATACTTGGATCAAGACTGCAGCAGTGGAACTTGTTAGAAGACGATGTTTCGGTATGTGTTTTTCGTAAACGCCACAAAGACTTAGAACCATTTTTCAATATGGAGA